TTGTCGTGTGGTTATAGACACTTTAAAATAAGGTACTCCTAGCTGAGGCATAAAATCGGAGATCAGCGCCTTATCACGGGCTACGGGGTAGGAGGGACGTCTCGAACGATGCCCATCATGGATGTTTAAGGGAGACCGGCACTCAGAGGTTGCAAACTTTCCCTACTTTACTCAGTTATGTACCTGCGGCTTTCGATTTGCCAGGATGCAGGCGGTTATAATAGCTGTTCACGCAATGCTAATGTTTTCGAAATTGTCATCACCAATTAGACATGGTAATGTAGGTAGTTCGATTAAAAATTTATGCAAATGCCTGTTATGCCTGAACATGAAAAGAATCGGCGTAACGAGTTTTGTAATTGGATTATGTGCTGAAGCGGTTAAATGACGCAGTTCCGCAGCGTCCCTTTCGGCGTTGCGATTTCCCAAAATAATTTCAGCCATGAATAAGAATGCATATTTTCCTAAGACGCACTCATAAACATTCCAAGTTGAGAACGACCGACGAATATATAACTCGATAAAGCAAATAAGTCACTCACTGGCCATGCAGATCGATCTCTGTGGCAATGCACTGCAGATAAAAGTTGAGTTAGCGTACAGCGTGTGCCTCAAGAAGCTTTGTGGTACGGTAGAAAACTCAGAACAAAGTGAATCAGTCGGCGTACTCCATCCAACTGCATTATAAGCTTCTCATTTTTTAAACATGGTACAAGACAAAATGCCAAATTTTGTCATCCATTGTGCAACGGAATAATAAAATCGATATGACGAGATATGTCAGGACGTGATTGTTTTCACATGTTGTAGTTGCTCATTTGTGACAGCTTAGCCAGCAGTAGTAGCGCCGCATTCAACACCACCGTCTGCTATCAGAGATAACTATTCTGCCTCACTCCTTAATAATCTGTGGACCGTGTCGTCGTTCCCAAGATCACCACACTACCTGTCTACATGTTGTTTCGGCTACCCCTCTGTTGCATAATGACTTCTTTTAGACA